TTTTTTTTTTTAACTAAATAGAGATGTTTATTATATTTCTTTCGATTGGAAAAAGAGATGGATTTTGTCGATAATTTTTTTTTGTTAATATTTTTTTGCCCCTTAATAAATGTGATTGTGTGAGGTGGTCTGGATTTTGGGGCCCAAATTTTTAATTTTTTTGTTGGTTTACTCTTTCAAAATTATTTTGTTAGGCTATATTATAGTAAATTTTATTTTTTAGCATATATTACATTATTAATTTTTAAATTTAGGGCCTTTTTCATATAGGAGCCTAAAGCTCACGCTTTTATTTTTATAGAATAGGGCCGGCCCTACTTGGGTTTTAGATTTAATCCTGAATAGTGAGGCTTGTATCATTGTACCTATTTTCTCTCAATAATAAAGAAAGGAGACCGGATCACGTCTCATGGACGCAGGCAAAATAATTTTTTTAAACCACATAAATCTTTGTATAATGAGTTGTATTTTATTTTATTTTTATTCCGTTTATTTATTTTCTGGTCCTTGTACTAACCAAATTGCTACGAAGATTAATTTCCAACAAAGGCTGCAAGAGCCACACTTAGATTTCTACCATTCTAAAATCTATCTAGTTTTCAATGGCAGCAATAGAGAGATTTTTGTCAGGCCTTTTTTTTCATGGAATCAACCCCAACCTCTCTATGTTTTCAATGTGAGAAAACTAACCTCCTCACATAAGGAGATAGCAAGGGATTGGTCATATCCTGATAAAAGGGAACTCCTAATCCAAGGGCAAGTCTTCTATCTTTTGAGTTCAAATAACTCACTAACTATCTTATTCGGCTTGTGCCCGTCCATGGGCGCCCCGATTCAGATCCAAACCCAAATACCAACATCATATCAATAACTACCACCTTGACTCGGTGATTTGAAGGTACAAAATAATATCTGGTCAAGGTATTTATTCTCCAAAACTTTTTAATATACAAAACTTGACACAAACTAAATGCCAAATCCTTAAAATTTAGCGAAGTCGGTTATATTCAAAACCAACTTGTGTTGTATTTAAAAGATGGTTGAGAGAGGCTTTGATCTATAATTTAAGTGCATGGTGTTTGGAATATGATATCGCCCATTTTTTCTCCAATCACATACCCTAGAATTCTTATTTCTCAAATGAGGACATTTTTAAATTTATTTCTTAAATTGAAATAGTTTTGGTAAATATGATTGAAAAACGTTGTATCAAATGAGGTTTTTATGATTTACATGAAAACCATCTGTGTGGTTAGGATGTGTTGTCTAAAGATGTCATTTAGAATGACCTTTTACCCAAAAGATGTCCTTTAGAATCACATTTTTTTAAAAGTATCTAAGTTTATGAAACAAGATTGAAACTGGTTTGGGAAATAAGATTTTTCAAGACATGGAGTTGGTGAAAAACTCGAATAGAGGCCTAAGAGTATCTCCAATAGGCTCTCTATTCTCACTCATTTCAGTCCATCCATGATTTCCTCAAGAAATTGTGGGAGGGAAATCTCTTCCACAATATATACATTTGTTCAACTTCACTATGACAAATTTAATTAAGATACACTATTTATAAGTGGATCTCTTATTCACGTACAATACATTTAATTGAGTAAAATTAAAAAAAAAAAATGTATTTAAAGATACCTTACAGTTTTCGTGAATTTCTCCAGCCAATTAGAAGCTAAAAATACATGTCGGCACCAATCAGTCATTTTATGGACCCCAATAATGAAGAAGTTGCACGTGGTGGAATGTTTTCATTTTATTTTCATCTCCCTCTCTTCTATCTCCACTTTTTTCACCAAATCAAATGGACCAAGAACACAAAAGAGTATGATGTTGCCGACCGAATGACCAAAGATAGAACAACTAACTAACCATCTAATCAGATTTTTTGTTAAAAACATCAAGTTAAAATATGTTTTTTCCCTTTTGATTTATAAGTCTTTTTTTTCCCAGAAGGTATGATTAATAGGATTTGATACAATATATATATATAAAAAATTATATGTCAGATTAAGACCATCGAAATTTAGCAATGCCTGGGTTGATTTCAATAACTGTCAAAAAAAATTTGCAAAAGACCCAATTTTTAAAAATTCTCAATGATCTGAACAAAATTAAAGTAAAACACATACACACATACATACAGTGGGCAAGTGACTAAATGCAAACATATTTTTTTATTTTCGATAAGTAACTAAATACAAACATTATAATTATAATAGTCCAAAATGACATAGATCAGATGACCTCAATGGCATGAAGTTTGTCTGATTCACTATGGTGACGATCGACGAATTAGTGTGTGTGAAAACAGCATTAAAAAAATAAAAATTAGTGTGTGTGAATGTGCAATAACTACTTTTTCCTAAATCAGTGTATTCAACAAACTTGTAGTTGTCGCATGCTATTCCTCGGCCTGTTTCATGAACCTTCCTTGAATATGCTTTGATGCTTCTTCGAATAGCGTTAATGATATTTGAAAAATGTTATTTCGGCTTCATTTGAAAATTTAATTCAATATAATCATTGCATTGAAAGGGGGCTCCATTTAATATTAAAATTTACAAATAAATTTATTTTTTGGTCAATCATATAACATACTTACAAAAGAATTACTTACAACAAAAGAACAAGCAACTGGAGCTATCCTATGCCCTCACGAACATCAGTCTGGATTAGTTGCAGCACCTGAAGTGGAGGATTCAAAAACCAGGCCTCAGGAAGACTCCCACAATTGGTTAGATGAGCTACCAAATGAGCTAAATGATGAGTTGATTTGTTCACAAAAAGGAAATTAACAGACATGAGCTGGGAAGACAAAAGCCAGATATCACACTGAAATGGTTCAACGTCCCTCAATGACTTTGTAGGCCCCAGCACCAATGAATCAATGAGACTTTAGGAATGGTTCAACGTCCCTCATCGTTTGATTCTCTTTGTTCTCCCTGGTTCTCTTCGTCTCTTTGGTCCAGCAACTGTAATGATCGTCTCTCTCGTCCGGCTGCCCTCTCTCTTTCTTTGTCTCTACGTCTGAAGCTCTCTCACCAAAGTAAGTCCTTGGATTTATTCACATAGATCTAGTGTTTTCAGAGTTTTTTTTTCCTGTTTTTTGGACATCTTTCGATCTCTCTTTCTCTACAGCTAAATTGTTGTATTAGATCGGTGTGTTATTTCTGGTTTATTTCTATGTGTTATTATTTTCTGTGTTAGAATTTTTATGTGTATAGATCTGACTTTTATTTTCCTTTTTCTTTTTGTTTTTTTGTGTTAAATCTGATTTTCTTTTTCTTTTTCTTTTTGTGTTAGATATGATTTTCTTTGTCTTTTTTTGTGTGTTAGATATATCAACTATATCTAAATCTGATTTTTTTGGGTTAGATATGATTTTTTTTGGGTTAGATTTGATTTTGTTTTTTGGATTAGATATGCATTGGGTTGTGAAATTGCTGGTTTGAACGTTTTGAATTAGTTGGGAAAATGTGTTCTTCTTGCTAGCTTTGCATTAGGCTGTTCATTGGGTTAGAAGTTGCAGATTGAGACATTTTGAATGAGAAACACAGCTTTGAGTAAATCCAAATATGCACTGCCTCACGTGATAATGGTGTTTTTTTTCATGTTGTGAAATTGGAACAAGTGCATCATGTTTTTCATCGAACCCGCTAGGGTATGCAATACTAAATCTTATTAGAATGCACGTTGTTCAAGATCAATTATTTGATAAGTTTAGTATTGAAGATAGAGTGGATGATAATGCGGAATAGATTTCAGAGAACCCAATTGTGGTAATTATTTTTATCACTATTAATTGTTACAAAAAAAAATTAAAATTTTTTTAGGTGATTTACCACTTTGGCAGGGGCGGATTTAGTATGGGGGCAGCGGAGCAGCCCCAACTGAAATTATAAAAATATTTGGGACCAAGATGTAATTTTAAAATTTTCAAGAATTTTTTAAACTTGCCTCAATTGAAATTTTCTTAAAGTATATGATATATTAATATAATTTTCAACAATTTTGGCCTCCTCCTCATTTTTCGTCGCCTGCTTTCCCCCGTGGGCAAGTCATCTTTTTCTTCTTTGTAGTCGGTCTAACTTCCAATCCAGCCCTTGTCTTTCTTTTATTTAAATTTCTTTATTAGTTTCTTTGGTGTATTCATCAACTAATCAGCCAAAGAGAGGTAAATTAGCCAACAAATCAACCATTTTTCTTTGTTAGTTCTTTTGGTGGATTCAATCATTGTGCAAATCAAATTTAAAGAAACCCTAGAAGATTA